GAATCTCGTTCATCCATTCATGCGCGTCACTAATTAGATGACGAGGCATTTGGCTATCTTAACAGAACCATAGCCTCTCCCGCCGTTTACCCGCGCTTCATTGAATTTCTTCACTTTGACATTCAGAACGCTCCGGCAGGGAACCCCCAACTGTCTCGACCCTCTGCACTGATGTGGGCCGAGAAGGAGGGGTAACCGCATGAACCGGGGAAGACAGGTGACGCCACAGCCCGGATCTCCTGAGACTCGTTTGGCGCTGTGGTGCCGGCCTCATTGCAAAACGCAACTTATCCGGCTGGTGGTTCTATTTCGTGGTGTTTATAGTCTCACGTCGACTAGGGGGCCGCCCCTCCCCCTGAATCGCCACCAATATCGTTGTGCACATATCCGAATGGGAACGGCCCTGTCCCCCTACCCCCTCAGTCCACCACCGGTCGGCCGCCCTCCCGGTCTGAAAGGGGAGTTTAGGGAAAGTAGGAAGAAGAAGAAGGAAAAGAAGGAAGCAGCAACGAAATTTTCCTTTCAAATTTTTATTGAGCAACACAAATTTTATACATTATATACAATATAACAGAGTTCTTCGGGGTCTTCTTCCCGTCCATGCATTGCCACTCAGCGTCTTGGTCTGTTGAGTAGACCATAGTTAGTCAAGTCAATAAAAGGAGGTGAGGAGTAGTAACTCACCATTCTTCAAGGCTCCGCTTTTCCAGCAACGATCCGTTTGAACAACCTCCCAATATGAAGGGTACCGATGAGTGCCATACGCCAAGTATTTATTGCTATGGCCTTCCGCTCAGATTTGGAGAACCCAAGGGCCCGCAGGAGGCGAAAGTTTTCTGTGGACCATTTGCCTCTGGCACCAGCCACAAAGCCCCAAGTTTGTACTTCCATTACATCAAGGTCGAGATGTCTAACGGCTGAGGCGAAGCTCATGTACTTCTGTTCCTTCCTGCGGAACATGTTGGGGAATGTCTCCGGTCCCCATTCAAAACAGACAGCTATGTCCACAATCATTGCTACAGGAGCTTGGATTAGGATCAAGTCAGGAAACCCTTTCTGACCTTTATCGTTTCTCAAGGTTTTCTCTTTGAAAACTTTCCACCCTTTGCGCTCAGCAGCAGTTGCAACCAATTGACATATTTTATTATGCCGGGCCATGACATTGGGCCTAAGTACTGGGCAGCCCCCCAAAATGTGGGGCAGCGTTTCTTTAGGCACCTGACAGAGCCTGCACGAGGTCGGTCCAAACTTGTTACTTGGTTTCGCCAAAACCGGGAAGGTGTTTAATCCGTGTATCATTCGTTCATTCGTTTTTCAATATAAAACCAAAAATAAGAAAACGAAAAAACAACAGTTTTCTTCATTATTTGTCTCCAAAACCAAAATGAAAAAACGGATAACGATTCGTTTTTTCAGTTTTCGATTTTGTGTTTAAATGAAAAATGGACAAAACGGATAACGACCGTTTCCCGTTTTGTCCAATTTTGATACTTAAGCAAGTTGCGTGAACCGGAAATGAAACTTTACTAGAAGCACTGCGCGCACAGCGGAGAAGCCGCTCTGAGATGGAAAGCTACGTGGAAACCTACGTCCTTTTCCATGGAAATAAGAGGGTAACCCTACGACCAGAAGATATGACAACAGAAAAAATCGGTGTCATATTTCAGGTATGTTCTTTTTGATTTAAAACTACGTTATAATAGAGTGGATGTAAACATTATTTTTCGCCATTTGCCCGATCTGCGATCACGCATCTCTAGTTTAAGTGGCGGTAATGTGAGCGCACTCAATGTTAGTGCTCCGTTTGCTCCTTCTGCTTCTGCTTGAGCATGTTACAAAAATCATGGAGGCCTTATGTAGAACTGGAGAAAGAGACCAAGTCCCGCTCTCCGTACATGTCAATGGTCGGGACTCAGCTAGTAAAGCCAATCCGTAATAAACGCCATCTTGAACAGTGGGCCTCTGAATTGGCGCCAGTCGCTCTGACCTGCTCTTGACCCCCTGACAAGACTTAACTTGAGTGCCGTGAGTACCAATCCATCTCGGTACAAGGTTTAGTTTTAGTAACAGGAAAAGTCCCCCCACTTACTGATGGGTGCGAATTTGTTCTAGGTTGATTTTTGTAATTATTATTTCATTTTATAGATTTTTAAAAAATTATTTTGCATCATTGAGACTTGTTAAAGAGATACTATGCCTGCATGTTGAGTAACCACTATCTGAATTTTTTTCTTTGGTTATAGAGAGACATTTTGTTGTGTAACTACATTTTCTATAAGCCATACAGGAGAGGGATACTTTTAACATTTCATCAGGCAAGAACCACTGTCAGTGCTAAAAAGTACAATTCTGGTTTTCATTTTTCTCTTTAGAATTTCCCAGCTCAACATTTAAAATGTACAGTAATCAAAAGGCATAAATTATTTTTGATGATGTAATTACATTATGAGTTAACTTAACTGGCTATCTGTGCGTGTGTGTGAGAACATAGTATTTAGCCTCTCTTCTAACCTGTGTTTCTATCATAGGTCCAAAAAGAAACTGTCTATTTGACAGATGACAACAATGTGGCCATATTTCCCAGACCTGATGGTGACTTCAACACCTTTGACCTCATCACCAGAAGTCACTATGAGGTGCATGGTGACAGCACCACTGCTGAGCAAGCAACAGCGGCACTTCCGACTGGTCAGCCTGTCCGCTTTTCTTTTCACCGCTCAATCAGTACAGCCACAAGCTCCTCCTGCTCAAGGAGCACCACCACCAAGAGCTTTGTTAGGTGATGAAAGGAAACTTTTACTCCTTGCTAAACTATCCTTTGTCTCTGTTACTACTTATTTTTAGGCAACATTATTTGCAGAGGTGTGTCCAGTTCTGTTTGCTAGTAAACCCTTGCAAAATATGGTTGAACAGTTAATCCAAATATCATAACTGTAATATGTTCAAGTGTAATGTCCAAATAACAGGAGCTACAGTTTTTAGATAAAGGTAAAATGTGTCACAGCATCACATTCTAAGTGAAGCTTTCTAGGGCTTAGGAGACATCTCATCCTAAATAAGGAGCATGAGGCCAACAATAACATTATACTCATCAGATTCATATTTAATTCAATGAAAAACAAATGCAAAAGTGACCGTTAATTTGAATCACCATTATTCAATTAATCGTGGGATGATGTCAGAGAGCACTAAGCAGGATTGTACACCTTCTGCCAGAGTAATATTAGAATAGCATCAACATATAATATAAATAAGGGCTTAACATGTTTCATATTACAGATAACTTGCTTGTAATACATAGTCTTTCCTAGTATTAGTACTAGCATGTGACCTAGTGCTTGCATCAGATGACATATTACTTGACTGTTTATGTCTTAAAAAAAAAATTATGTTCTCATCAATATTCAGGAATATCCTCATGGCTGAAGTGGTTAATGGAAAGCTGGAGACCAACAAAATAGTGACAGTCCGCTTCGCAGAGTTTGAGGCTTGTGTGCAGACCATCAGCACTAAAGTAACAGAAGCCCTTGGACTGCAGGAGGCAGTAATTTTGACAGATACTCTGGGAAATGAAATAATCGATTCAGAAGGAACAAGAGGTATGTTTTAAGCCATTGCTGTGTAAATGCTATTTTCTGCCATCACTGTAGGAGCTCATCTGCACATAGTTCACTCACTTGAACAGGTAAATGCACACACCTAAGTGTAATTCTCACATTAAAGTACATTTTGCATCCATAGCTATCTTCGTTGCTTCAAATCTGTATTGTAGTGTCCTGTTTTGAAGTTTTAAGATACCTATACATTTTCACCAATACAGCAAATGTTTGCTTGAAAGAAAAGAAAATCAGGTCAAATTTTTAAATGGCAGGGTCAGCATACTGGAAACAAAATTCAAGGAAAGTGTTTGCAGTGCCTGAACAGCAAATGGAGCTGCTACAAACCAACAAAAGAAAGAGGCTGAGGTAACTGGACTGAATATTATAATTTTATCAGTTTTTATTTCTCAGTCTTTTTTTGCACAACATGTAGTTTCTTTTGGATGACATGTCAGCAAAGCCATGGTGGTTCTTACTAGTGTATGTGTGTAGTGTTTGAACTAATTGCACTCTAATTAAATGTTACATTGTAAATTTAAAATGTTTTTCAGTCGAAAAGAAGATACTGGCCTTCAGGAGGTGATTGCTGACATCGAGGAGGTTGTGGAAGCAGCCCAGGGACTAAAGGAAGTGTCCAAGATTATCAAGACTTTGACTGGACAGTCGACAATGACAACCACACTTTGTCTTTCAGAGGCTGAAGTAGCCTCTCTAAAACTGGTCTTCGGCTGTCTTGTCTGCACAGGTTGGTATTGTTTTACTATGGATCATTAGAAAGATGCAATGAGGGATCTGAGGCACTACATACACTTCTCAAAATTTTGTGCTTATTTATTCTTTATGGTTTTATTTCATGTAATAAAATTTTATATCAATTTGTACTAGTGTTCATTTTACCCATGTTTTTTTTTTTTTTTAATTCCTGAATTTGCAAAGTGCATTGAGGCTAAATAGATGTCAAATGCTCTGTGTATCAACTTAAAAGTTAGGTAATCTTCATACAGAGTTTGGTCTACATACAGTTTCTGTACTGCTAGATTTTACTTAACACAATGAAAATAAAAGAATTTTTTTTTTTTTTAAATCTACAGGTCCTGCAGCTAAGCCTATTTTTTCTACCTGCTGCAGAAGCTTTATTGGGTGTAAGGAATGCATCGAGAGGTGGAACAGCAGCCATGATTACTGCCCGAAGTGTCGGTCTGTAGATTTGGATAGAGGCATCCACGAAGTGGCTGGACTCGATGAGGCACTGGCAGCACTGGAGAAGTTATTCTAAACATAATCCCAGTAAAAGTGGCAGCAGTTGTTTGTTTACAGTGTACAGTTCAGATTTATTTTTGTAATGTCTAATGTGTTTTACAAGTTTTTTATGGCAATTTTTATATGATCCAAATGTCAGTTCTTTGTATGTGTAATGTCGATGCTTTTACAAAGCACTTATTTCAGTCACATGTTAAAATGTATTGTGACAGTCGGATTTTATAGTTGTTATGCTTGTTTATTGCAAAAACTATATAACAATAAACATGCATTGTTCTGAAAAAAAATCAGATTTATTCATTTGCAATTTAGCTTAAATTTCTTATAAAACCACTGTACATATACATTATGCATATACATAGTTAGATATACTCCCACCTATATTTATCTTGCATGTCTTCCAGAGACACTTAAAAGGTACAACAATGCCTCCTGAAACATTCTATAGTCATTGTTAACCACTGTTTCAAAAAGAACAGACATGTCTGGAAACCTCTCTCCAAACACATGCTCAGCATGAGATCGGTCTTGCTCTGATAAAAATGGGTCAGAGCCAAAGGCAGACACCCAAGTCAGGGAGGACCCTAGCTCTTCCTCGTACATGTGTGCTGCCTCAGCAGCATTGGGCAGCAGCTCTGTGGGAATTCTTGTTGCGCAACTAGAAGCTGCAAGTTCGTTTGGTATCCCTCTGCCTAAAATTGGTAAAGATTTGGTTTTAGTTTTGGACAAAATTCTGTCAGTTCAAAAACTACACATAAATATTATCACACCTTACCTGGTATCCTATGGGCATTCCAGGACTGCACAACTCTGCCAAGTCCTATCTCACTCACTTGACATGCCAGATTGGAGACACAAAATTTTGTAATACTATCCTGCATATCAAGTAATTCCTGATCCAGCAGGTGGACCAGGGCCTGTTTTACGGGATAGTTCACCCGATTGTTGACCTCTGGCCAAATTCTTTCCACTCGAAGGTTCTGTTTAAAGCACAAAAAAAAAGTACACTTAAAATCCCAATTTTTTTTTACAATCCAAAAATCATAAAAGGCAGCATTGCTTTAATTATCTCTGCTGTCAGGTTTTATCTGCATATTACACACTGGGCTAACTTTTTTCTGATATAGGCTTGTAAATAATAATTTTCACTGAAAATACAGTTGCTAAACATATCAGCCAACTACTGTACAGTACTTAAAATATGTAACTGCCCAGGGACTGCAGAGGAGAGGAGCCCATAAGTAAATCTGACATACATTAATCTCAAATGAGAAAAGATTATTTATTTGTGCATGGTCCCTGTTTCATGAAAAATAAATAAAACTAAAAGTTACCAGTTATCTTTATATGTAGTCAGTAGGACCAAATTCACCTTTGAAGAGGTTGTCTGCACGTAAGGAAGCCTATTGATGTTATGTCTGTGTTGAGACAGCTTTTCTTGCATGTACAGAGTCAAATAAAACTCCCTGCCATGATCGACTCTGATTTGGTCCCATAATCCGTTGTTAGCAACTGCTTTCCTGTAATAAAGAAATGTGCAAATTATATGGATGCATGAATCATATTTATTTTGCATTCAAATGCACATCGTACACACAGGGCCTGATTTATGAAGATCCCAAATAAAGGAACAAAACTGTGTGCACAGTGCAACAGATTGTGTGTTTAGTTAGCGTGTGTTGCAGTGATCTACTAAAAACAAGGTTTTATTTATAGACGCAGTTAGTGTCAGCAAATTCACCTTTGAGTTTGGTAAATCACAATGCGTGTACTATACTGTATAACATATTTACATTAGCTCCTCCCTGTATTTTACACACTAGAGTTAAAATGCCTCATATTACATATTCATTATGTCAAACGACACACATTTGAAAGATGCAAACTTCAGTGTGTTGTGTTAGTACATCAGTTTGCACATTTTTTACAGGTGATGTCAAGTTTGTACACATTTTTACACACACACATCTTTAGTAAATCAGGCCCACAGTGCAATAATGTAGTGCCTATTATTTACTTAACCTTGACTGTACTTGCCTGTATACTTCCTCATAAATAATAAGGTTGTTTTTCACTGGCATTGTGGATACAGCAACAATTTTGCTGCTGAAACCATCAATAGCTAAGACATGTGTCACTCCAAACATTCCCAGCTTCTCATTTTGGTCTAGATGCAGTTTGTGACCCATGTATTCGGCATGGTAGGGAACTGGATTTAGGTTACGTGCTCCCTAAGAAGCACAAAGCAAACAATCATAAGTGCAATAACATTAAATCTGCAAAAATATTCAAATTATTCACAAACATAATACATGCATGTACTGCTAATATGCATACTTTAAGTATGTATAATATAGTATGTATAATACTTTATAAAAGTATAATACTTTATACTATAATTTAACTTTCATGAGGTCATTTCAAAAACCATCTTTCTGCTTACAAATATAATTAATGGAAGTGATTTACCTGGCAACGCAGCTCATAATATGGTTGGTGAACTTCTCTAAGAATCCTTCCTACTCGAGATTCACCTGCTTTAACTCCCACAGATGACAGGTATCCTGTCATGAATTTTCGTCCATAAGTTGGACCTGTCTGTTAAGACAAAAACAAAAAGAGTTAAAAAATTAAATAAAATAAAAATTGTCGTTTTGATCAGACAAAACGCCACTCGACACAACCACATTTAACAACAACCACATTGATTCGAACCAACCGCGGTCTACTACTCGAGGAGTATTCTAACCTACCATCTGAATACGGAAAGCAGTCCGGACGATTTTGAAATTCCGCTTGGACATATTTTTAGGTCTCAAGCTGGGGCTTTTTTCTCACCTTTAAGCGATCAGATTTAACCGGGGACAATGCACGGAAATCGGGGACGCCTGGTCACTTTAGCTTTTGTACCTAAACTTAAACTGCGCTTGTCTAACATTTTAGGCGATCAAGTTAACAAAATAAGACTATTTCCAAAAAATATATTTATATAAAAAGTGTATATGTATAGCTTGCACATGCTTACAGCTTGCACTTACCTTATGTATTGATGACAGGACAGCAGTTTCCAGTTCTGCGTCTGATACATGTCTTTTACGCCGGAGTTGGTGTTGAATACAGAATCTTCTCACCGACATTTCCGAGGATCTCTTAATACCCAACTGCCGCAGCGTATTAGAAATCTCAGCATGCGTTTTTCCATCCTCAAAAAGCTGTTTAATTATATGATGATGATCCTCAAGTCCAGCGGCCATTAAGTTTGTTTTGCGCGTCCTCCTTGTCAATATACGCGTGTGTCTATGCGCCTAGTAAAGTTTCATTTCCGGTTCACGCAAATTGCTTAAGTATCAAAATTGGACAAAACGGGAAACGGTCGTTATCCGTTTTGTCCATTTTTTCATTTAAACACAAAATCGAAAACTGAAAAAACGAATCGTTATCCGTTTTTTCATTTTGGTTTTGGAGACAAATAATGAAGAAAACTGTTGTTTTTTCGTTTTCTTATTTTTGGTTTTATATTGAAAAACGAATGAACGAATGATACACGGAATGTCCTGGTTCAGTCCGTACGTGGTGCAAAAGTTCAGCATCGCAGTCACTGAAGTCACGTAAACGGGAAACGGTCGTTATCCGTTTTTTCCATTCTTCATTTAAACACAAAATCGAAAACTGAAAAAACGAATCATTATCTGTTTTTTTTATTTTGGTTTTGGAGACAAATAATGAAGAAAACTGTTGTTTTTTCGTTTTCTTATTTTTGGTTTTATATTGAAAAACGAATGAACGAATGATACACGGATTCCATCTGATATCTGCATGTTCTGAGTACTGTATTCATAAAAAAAAATAAAAATATACTTTGTCAAAGTATTTAAACAGATTTCATATCACCAGATACAGTAAAGCCAAGTGTGCACCTGTTTTTACCTGTTGTTCACCTGTGTGGACCTCATTCATTTTTTCCATTTAATTTATTCAACTCATTTAACTTATTATAATATAATAATATAATAATAAAACTCTTCCCTGTCAGTGTGTGTCCAGTATTTGTCATCTTTGTTACTTTCTCGTGTGCAGAGCTCCACATAAACGTTTGTTTCTGTAGTGATTCTGTTACATCGCATCTTGGAAAAAAAGACTG